ACTCAATTTTTTTTTGAGGCACGAATAATGAACATACTGATGCACTTGCGAAAATGTTGTAATCACCCATATTTATTCGATGGCGCTGAACCGGGGCCACCATATACTACAGATCAGCATCTTGTTGACAACTCGGGGAAAATGGTTCTACTGGATAAACTACTGTCGAAACTAAAAACACAGGGTTTGAAAAAACTTTATTTTACGATACTTCGAATTCAAATAGAGTGTGAATTATCGTATAAATTCTGATCATATAAGCGCTAATCAATTTTTTTCTTTAGTTGCGACGTTTCAAAATATTGTTCAAGGAATTGAAATTTGAGATTCTTCAGGATCTCGCGTCTTGATATTTTCGTCGATGTCTCGAATGTTGGATTTATTAGAAGATTATTGCTGGTGGCGTAGTTATCGCTACTGCCGCTTGGATGGGCAGACTGTTCATGACGAGCGTCAGAAATCCATTGATGAATTTAACAAACCGGATTCGGACAAGTTCATTTTCATGCTTACAACACGAGCCGGTGGCCTTGGAATTAATCTTACTGCTGCGGATGTTGTTATCATTTACGATAGTGATTGGAATCCACAAGTAGATTTACAAGCCATGGTTGGTATCTTCTGTGATTAACTATAAAGATCTTAAATGCAATGTTCACACCAAGTATTGTTCTCACCTGCATTTATCACATTAATAATCCTCATTTTACAAATTTTCAAATTTTGTTTTGAGTGTTACTGTTTTTATCAGAGTGGGATTTAGGATCGAGCACATCGTATTGGACAAAAGAAACAAGTTCGCGTTTTTCGTTTTATAACAGATAACACTGTGGATGAGAGAATCATTGAACGAGCTGAAATGAAACTTCATCTTGATTCAATCGTCATACAGCAGGTACTAAATAATGTTGTTCTGGTCTTTTTGATTTTTTTGCACACTAATCAAACATACCGATATATCAATTATGTTTCTAATTTTAGTTTTTAACGTATATTGTTTATGTATTATTTGGATTCCCAAACCGTAAAACAGTTTTGAATTAAAAATTTTTAGACTGGTTTTTTTGAAATTACTTATTTCGAATATTTAACATCATATTTAACATTTACACCATTCTGTTTTTTTTATTTTTACTTGAACTGAAATTTGTATTTTTGCATTCGTTATCAACATTAACCCCAGCAACAGTCAAATACATAAATATTTGAAAGTCTCAATCTCAGGATTTGTACTAAGCTATCAAGTCATTTATTATCAGTAATTGGAATTGGTCGGATTCTGTTTTATTTGTTCTACTATTTTCTCTTGATTTTTTTAGGGGCGCTTAACAGATTCCCAGAAGGCTTTGGGTAAAGAAGACATGCTGGATATGATCAGACATGGAGCTGATCAAGTATTTGCTTCCAAAGACAGTACAATTACAGATGAAGATATAGATACGATTTTAGAAAAAGCAGAGCAGAAAACAGAGGTACAATCACTCAATATCGTGGTCTTTGGTAATATTTTTTTATCTCAAATTCTTCAAAAAGGCCAGCTTATTAAAAAATCATTTTGATGCAGGCATTGAATAAGAAAATCGCTTCACTCGGAGAGACATCGCTTCGGAATTTCGCCTTGGATGCACCAACTTTCGATGCTGATAGTAACTACACAGTTTACAAGTTTGAAGGAGAAGATTATCGTGAGAAACAGAAAAATGTTGGGGGAATTGGCTACTGGATTGAGCCACCAAAGCGAGAGCGGAAAGCAAATTATCAAGTTGACGCTTATTTTAGGTTTTTTTTTGGATATTTTTCCCATTTATATCTGTCTATTAGTGGAATTCAATCTTCAGTGATTCAGTAGCTGTTTATCAGACCTTATACGGACCTCTATCCTGTATAATTTTAATTTTTACAACTTTAAATTTCAAATCGACTCCATAGTTTATTCTTGCTATAAGGATAGAAGTAAGTAAAGACATTTTCTGTTGGTTTTAAATCCTACGTTTTGCTGATTGTTGCATCATTTGTAGGGAAGCGATGCGAGGAGGACATGCAGAGCCTAAAGCACCAAAAGCGCCAAGACCACCAAAGCAGCCTAATGTTCAAGATTTCCAGTTCTATCCAAAACGATTGTTTGAGTTACTGGAAAAGGAAGTTTATCTTCATCGGAAAACAATCGGATATAGAGTATGCCTTAAAAAATATTGCAGTTTTTACTGCCAGCTTTTTTCGACATTGCACAGTGGGGTTTTTTTATCCTTTAGTTTTGAAGTTTTTGAAATAGAAAAGGCAACTGATTGTCAAGCTTTCCAATTTTCATCTAGATGTAGACTTTGAAATTAGAGAAATATTGACAGCAATAATTGGAATAACTAAAGTCTTTAAATGACCGGACAACAGGAAAATTATTCCGTGTTACCATAAAGCTTATATAATCAGAAAAAAAATCAAAAAAAAACCAATAACTCAAGATTGCTTATCAGGAGCTTTGTATATGACTTCGTGGCAGCAAATAAAACTTAAGGCCTCCCTATTTATGTTAACAATGGATTAATACATATCTCTGGATATGGTTTCACCGTTTCATCATTGATAGCAGCGTTGTTCCGTAAATTTTCCTTTATATCAAACGGAGCTCTTATAGAAACGGTTTCTGGCATCGTTGGAGATCGATATCTTGAAATGGTTGGATTTGAAATTGAATTGTTGATGCATTTGATTTTCAGGCACAAAGACCGCCAGATCTCCCAACCAAAGAAGCAGAGAGAAAGCAAAAAGAAGAGCAGAAAAAGATTGACAGTGCTGTGCCACTGACTGAGGAAGAGCAGAACGAAAAGATCCAACTGCTTACACAAGTAATTTGTAAATATTTAGTTGTGAAAAAGTGAATTGAACAAGTCTTTCATTAGCATTGATACTTCTAGGGGCAAAGTAATTGGAGTCGTCGAGAATTCCAACAATTTATAAAAGCGAATGAGAAATATGGGAGACACGATTTGGAAAATATAGCGAAGGAAATTGACACGAAATCTGCAACCGAGGTTTTTCTTTTTTGCTAAAATATACGGCCGAGATAAGCGGGGCTCTTTCTTTAGTTTTGAATTTTAATTACCACGTTTTCTGTTTGCATCGATAAAGAACGTCTTTAAATTTCTGGCTTCCTTCTTTAAGGTTGAAGAATATGCAAAGCTGTTTTGGGAACGTCTCGACGAACTGTCTGATCATGAAAGAATTCTAACGACAATCGAAAAGGTTTAAGTTTATGATCTACTAATATACAATATTTAATAGAATATTTTTAAAACAGTTTATAAATTTCTAATGGAAATTTCAAATTCCGCCTGATATTTGTGCATTTGACATTGATTCAGAAATCACCATCTTGAAATCTAACATCGTTAGAAATCATTAACCACGAGGAGTTTGTTTTAGGGTGAAGCTCGAATACAGCGTCGCCAGAGCATCAAAAAAGCATTGGATGAAAAAATAGCAAAGTACAAAGCTCCATTTCATCAACTACGAATTCAATACGGAACGAATAAAGGCAAAAATTACACGGAGGAAGAGGATCGGTAAGTATTGACTGCACATATTTATTTTTTATATAAACATTTATAGATATTTGTAGTTTGTCAGTTAAATTACTAAAATCTCAAGCTTTATCTTTGAGGTTTATGGTCTGCCAATTGCATAAGCTTGGCTTTGACAAGGACAATGTTTATGAGGAGCTGCGACAGGCGGTTCGCTCAGCACCACAGTTTCGGTTCGATTGGTTCATCAAATCTCGCACATCAACGGTTGGATTTTTCATGAGTTTCCTATCTTTCAAATGCTTTTGATTCATGAACTCGTCCCCGTTTCTTTGCTGGTTTCATTTACATTTTCTCTAAACTCTGAATTATTATTTAGGAGCTTCAACGCCGCTGTAACACGCTGATTTCATTAATTGAAAAAGAAATGGGTGAAGTAGAAGTGAAACGCAAACATGGTCAAAAGTCGTCAACAAATACTCCTACAACTAATACGAATGACCCCAAAGTTACAGCAGTTGCTAAGGTAACATCTTGATATCTTTTTGAATCAGTTGACGGTTCAGTCGAAATCGTAGATGTACTCTTCCAGTCGTGTGACAAACGCGACTAACGCTTCGATATTATACCATCTAATTACTACGAGCCCAGAAAGCGGAGCGTTCATTTCCGCGATTAGGTAATAACTATTAATTCTCAGTCTTCATACTAAAATTTTCAGTTTTCTAATCTAGTGCTCAATTTTAGTCTGGTCAGAAACGCAAATGCGAACAGTCCACATCTAAGGGATCCAGCTCTAAACGCCAGAAATAATGTTAGCCAAACGAATCGCCGCCATGTTTATACCTCGACAAAATCCATCATACTGTTTGTACTTTGCAAAAGTGAAATAACTTCAAATTATATGTTTCCAAGACTGATTTGCTTTTAATGCCGATGAGATGCACTACCAGAAATTGTTGAATTGAAATAAGACAATAGACACATTTTTTTTCAATTTCGAGAAAAGTAATTAAATTGCTATTTTAAAAAAAAAAAAACGCAAAAGGATCCACAAACGCAAAAGAGTCAAAAACGCAAAAGCGAATAGACCAATCTAAGAGATCCATCTCTAAATGTCAGAAATATTTGCTTATTTTTATTTAACGTTGATCCATTTGCAATACCATACATCTCTTGTATCATAAAACTTCTATTATATCATAAAAAAGATTTCTTGACACGTCTAAATTTGATATTGCTGCTGATATGTTTGACGTTTTCCCATATGCAATACCGTACGATAATAGCTATGAGGATCAAGCTTTACCAAGTAATATGGGTATTAAATATCATTGCAAACTATTTAAAGAGGGGAAATCGAATTTTAACCGTAATAAATAAACCAATCAGATATTTTCCTCCTAAATGACAGTTATTCAATTTATTGTGCCCACGGATTTGATGCTTCGAACTTTTGATATCCGGCTTTTGTGATGTTGCTTATTTCACTTTCTCATGTGCAACGACTTCCAAGGTCGGAGTTCGGTCACGTTGTCGGGATACAGATGCCTTATAAAGACGACTAGTATTCACCTGAATTTATTGCAGTATCTTAAGTTCGACGGACAGAACGTCATAACAATGTCACATGATGCACGCTCAGTACGAAAAACTGGGGGCAAGGCCATATTGCTCCAATAAAGCAATGTTCCAACTTATTAGTGGATGAGGAAGTTTGTACTTCAAAGAGAGGAGTTACAACATTTCTCATCTGGATGGAACTCAAAGATCGAAGGAGATAGCATGATTCATGAAATTTGTGGCCCTTAAGAGGGCCGTTGGGTTCAAGGGCAAACGCCATAGATGTAATACATCAACGA